TCAAAAGAGCTAAAGAGTTGCTTCGCTTGGCCGAAAGTGATCAACTGCCGAATTTGGTTTTCTCCGGCCGCAGACCTTGGATATTCCAACAGGACTCAGTACCATCGCTATCAGCATGCGCCAATCAATGGCCACCAAAATCTCTGGATACCAATCCGTTGGATTATTGTGTCTGAAGTATTTTGGAAAGCAAGGTTGAAACTAAAAAATTACCAACATGTCGATCACCTAAAGCAAGCGCTTCCCCAGGAATGGGCCAAAATACCGCAGAGCAAATTTCGGGCAGCTTATGACTGTTTCATTGGTCGTTTGAAGGCCATAAATCGTGCCAGAGGTGACCAATTCGAACAAATCTAAACTTATTCTAAATTTTGATGCTATTTCCGACATTTTTTGCTTTCATTCAATAAAATTAAAAAATATATAAAAATTATGGCGTTTGACTTTGTTGCAGTTTTCTTTATCTCACCCTGTATGTACCCTTGCTGAGTCTAAATTTCTTATTTTGATGAGTTACAAACGGAATGATGTACTTAATATACACTCCATACTATGTACGGTGAAGGGTATAAAAAAAGAACACGTGTATTGGCGTTTTTGAAGTTTACTTCGTAAAGTACGAAAAAGTGTGGAAGTTTTCAAATTAAGATTTCTCCGAATCCGGACATTTTAGGTATATAGTTTCTTTGGCAATATTGCAGATAAAAATACAAGACATATATTTGGTAGAAAACCTCAAACCATTCAAATAAGGGGGCTTTTTGATCCTCTTTTTAAATATGGGTAAAAACACCTTTTAAACCGGATCTTGCCAAGTCAAAATATTTGACAACAAGTAAAAAAGCTGTAAGTTCGGCCGGGCCGAACTTTTAATACCCTCCACCATTTGGTACAAATTTGGCATTTTCTAATAAATAAAATCCGTTAAAAATTCTGTTAATATCTTAAGAATACCGAATGCTTATACGACGACGTGGGCCAGCATAGGCAACTTTTGTCATAAGTTATTACACTATTTAAATGCGAAAGTTGAAGAAAAATCTGTTTATAATGTAGCTAATATCATTAAAATATCGAATATGGGGGGTACCGTTATATGGGGGCTATACGAAGACATGGACCTGCACAGATAATTTTCTAGCATGGGCTGAAGTATCCTTTATGAACTTCACATGCGAAATTTGAAACAATCCCGGTAAATAGTGTCGCCAAAATCATCAAAATACCGAATATCGGGGGGGTACGGTATATGGGGGCTATACGAAGACGTGGACCTACATGACCCATTTTCTGTTTTATGCTGCAGTATCTCTTACGAACTTCAAATACCAAATTTGGAATAATTCCTCTAAATAATGTCGCTAAAATCATCAAAATACCGAATATCGGGAGGTACCGTTATATGGGGACTATATGAAGACGTGGACCTACATGGCTCATTTTTTGACTTAGGATGTAGTATCCATTTTGAACTTCAAATACCAAATTTGAAACGATTCCGGTAAACAATGTCGCTAAAATCATCAAAATACCGAATATCGGGGGGTACCGTTATATGGGGGCTACACGAAGACGTGGTCCTGCACAGATAATTTTCTGTCTTAGGCTGTAGTATCCATTACGAACTTCAAATGCCAAATTTGAAACAATTCCGGTGAATAATGTCGCTAAAATCATCAAAATACGGAATATCGGGAGGTACCGTTATATGGGGGCTATATGATAACTTAGACCTACATGGCCCATTTACGAACTTAACCTGCCTACTGGCAAAATATACATGTGTGCAAAATTTTAGCCTTCTATCTCAATTTGTTCGAAAGATAGCGTGATTACAACAGACAGACAGACAGACAGATAGACAGACGGACATGGCTAAATCGTCTTAGAATTTTACGCTGATCAAGAATATATATACTTTGTTGGGTCTGACATGAGTATTTCGAGGAGTTACAAACGGAATGACAAAATTAATATACCCTCCATAGTATGGTGGAGGGTATAAAAGGGGGCTTTTTGATCCTCTTTTTAAATATGGGTAAAAACTCCTTTTAAACCGGATCTCGCCAAGTCAAAATATTTATCATAAAATTCTACTATAGGCCCTAGAAGACATCAAAAGTCTAAATCTTACCTAAACGCCAGGAATTTATGTGTACTAAAAACACATTTCAGGGCTAAAGCCGTACATTGGGTGAGTTTGGGCAAAATATCCTACAAAGCATCATTTCAGATATATAGTATCATTGGCAATATTGCAGATAAAAATACGGGGAATATTTTGGTTTGGAATTTTAACCCTCAAAGGGGTTTTTTTGATCCGCCACCTTTACACGGGATTGCAACAAGAAAAAAAGGTTTAACAAGATTATTTGTTTTAAAATTCTACTATAGGTCCTAGAAGATGTGAAGGGTCTAAATCTTACCTAAACGTCAGGAATTCATTAATACATTAAAAACACATTTTAGGTTTAAAGCAGCATTTTGTGTGAGTTTATGTAAAAATCTGCAACCAACCGTAATTTTAGATGGATGATGTCAAAGACAAAAAATATCCTTCATCAAAACTTCACTGTTAGTTACTAAAGAAAAGATATTGCTGTCCTCCTCCTTCCCTTCATTCATGTTTCCCAATAAAATACCAGAAAAAAAAACATATTTAAAAATCGATTATTCATGGCCACTTGATCTTCTAATTGCCGTTGCTCATCTGTGTGGTTCTCAGCCACACAAAGCAAAAAAAAAAAAAAAAAAATTCTTCCTCTGAATATGAGAAGAAAGAAAATCATCCACCACCATCATCCCAACCCACCCACACCCCAACAGTTGGTCACGCAGGGCCATTATGAAGGCAATTGTGCAATTTAAAAATGAATTGTCTTACAGTATAATTCTCTCGGGTGGTGGTATAACGCCACCAACATCCCTGACATGGAGAGGAAGTAATCGATTTGAGATGATATCCTTAATATTAAACTGGCGTTGTTCAGAGTTGGTAACGAGGAGGAGGGGGGTGGCGGTGGCGAGATTGAACTACCCAGCCTTATGGCTTTTGAGAGTTTATCTCATTTATAATACCGCCCATTGAGGTTAATCAATAATTCGTATGTGCTTAAGTATTTTCCTGTTAATGCACAGGACATATGTTTTGAGCTTGAATCTTGTGGGAGAGGGGTTGAGAAGGATAATCAGGAAACATTTTTTATACCCTCCACCATACTATGGAGGGTATATTAACTTTGTCATTCCGTTTGCAACTCCTCGAAATACTCATGTCAGACCCAACAAAGTATATATATTCCTGATCTGCGTAAAATTCTAAGTCGATTTAGCGATGTCCGGCTGTCTGTCTGTCTGTTGTAATCACGAATTTCGAATGAATTGAGATAGATGGCTAAAATTTTGCACACATGTTTATTTTTTCAGTGGGCAGGATAAGTTCGTAAATGGGCCATGCAGGTCCACGTTTTCATATAGCCCCCATATAACGGTACCTCCCGATATTCGGTATTTTGATGATTTTAGCGACATTTTTCCCGGAAATAATTTAAAATTCGGTATTTGAAGTTCAAAATGGATAATACACCCTAAGACAGAAAATTGTCTGTGCAGGTTCACGTCTTCGTATAGCCCCCATATAACGGTATCTCCCTAAATTCGGTATTTTGATGATTTTAGCGACATTATTCACCGGAATTGTTTCAAAATTGGTATTTGAAGTTCGTAATGAATACTACAGTCTGTGACGGAAAATTGTCTGTGCGGGTCCAGGTCTTCGCATAGGCCTCATATATCAGTACCTCCCCATATTCGGTATTTTGACGATTTTAGGTACAATACCCACCGAAATTGTTTGAGATGTGGTGTTTGAAGTTCGTAATGGATGCTACAGCATGTGACAGAAAATTGTCCATGCTGGTCCAGGTCTTCGCACAGCTCCAATTTAACGGCACCTCCTTATATACGATATTTTGATGATTTTAGCTAAAATGTGCACCGTTTATTTCAAGTTTCGAATTTGAATATGAAAATGGCTTATGACACACAATGCCTATGTATGTCCACGTCGTATAGACCCCAATATAACGGCTATATTCCGAATTTTTAAAATTTTAACAGAATTTTTTAAGGATTTTATTTTTTGAAATTTTCCAAATTCGTTGCAAATGGTGGAGGGTATTAAAAGTTTGGCCCGGCCGAACTTACTTCTTTTTAACTTGTTTTTTTTTTGTTTTGCAACATTGATGCAAATATTTTCCTGATATATAATGGAAATATAGATTTCCTTTTTTTTTGGTGACTTATAGCGAAATTTTATGAGGAATATTTTTGCCTTTGGCATTATACTTCTAAAATGATTTCTTGAAGGAGGATTTTGTATAAATTCACATGAAATACAGCCGTACTCCATACCCAAAAGGTGTTTTTTAGGGCAAGTTTACACTCTCTTTAAACGGAATCCAAGCAAGTCAAAATATTCTACAAAGTTATAAAATACCAGAAATCCATATTATAGATCCATATTATGGATTTCTGGTATTTTATAACTTTTTAGAATATTTTGACTTGCTTGGATTCCGTTTATAGAGAGTGTAAACTTGCCCTAAATAAGATAAAAAAACCTGTTTCCATCCTTCTTCCACTCGTTATATATTTACCCCTAACCCCTTCAATTTCGAATTCGATGACAACTCTCTTTAACCGCTTGACCTTCAAATGTCAAATTGATTACAGGGCAGGCATTCGGAAAAAAATCAGTCTTCTCTCGAAATCACTGTTATTATCCCTATATTAGATTAGATTTTTTCTCTTCACAGGTACACATGAATACACGTCCTGCAGTCTATAATTAAATATAAATTTATAATGAGAAATTACATTACACTTCTGTATGGGCTTCAAAAAAACCCTATAAAATTTTCTTTTATAATTATATACAGTCGAACCATGAAGTTCTACTAATTTTCCCCCTTTTTTATTTTTCTTTTTTCTACTTACAGTTTAAAACCACCACCCAAAGATGGCGTCACAAAAAGCAATCCCTCGAAACGGCATCGTGAACGTTTAAATGCCGAATTAGATTTATTGGCGTCATTGTTGCCATTTGAACAGAATATTTTAAGTAAATTGGATCGACTGAGCATTTTAAGGCTGTCTGTTAGTTATTTAAGAACAAAAAGTTATTTTCAAGGTAAGTTGAAAAAAAAAACAAAAACATGAGGATTGAAATAAGCAAACAAAGGGGGGAAATTAATATAAATTTTTGGATGGAAAAGAAAAAGAAGTCAGTAGCGTCAAATTTAAAAGGGGAGAAATTAACGATTCTAATTATCGAATTCGGCCTAAGGTTTCCTGGAGAATTCAAGCTCAAACTCTATTTATTTTATTTTGCGATGTAAACTTCCAAAAACCGATACTTGTCTCTTTTTTAGCTCTTCTTTTGTAATATGCTGGAATTGCTCCGTATTTATTTTATAAAAATTGAATATTGTCACGCAGAGTAATTTTTAAACCATAATTATATATTATTTATATATATATTTTTTTTTAACAATAAAAAAATATTTTTAATAATTTTTTTTAAGTTCCCACAATATATATTTTTTAATCAATGATGTCCGAAATTTAACTTTTGGTCCAATAAAATCGAACTTTGAATCACTCCACGCCATTAACAGACCATCCTAGCAATTTTTCACCCCCTCCTTGGGATAAATTTTTACTACGCCCCTGCGGAAAATCAAAAACCAAGTACTTTAAAATTTGCCAATTTTTTTTTCCTCTTTTGCACAAGATTGCCACCAAGTCACGCAATATATGATAATATTTACCATAGGTGACGAAGGTGTTTTTGGCTCTGGCTTTTTCGTCGATGACGTTTTATGTTTTTCAACTATAGCGTGACCATCAATCAAATGACGGAAACATACATCTAGTTATCGATATGTTTTGAAAAAATGGTGAAACAAAAATAATATTTTTGGAAACGATATTTTTTACATTGTATGCGATTTCAAAGGATTGAAAGGATCGATTTTCGGAGAAAGATTTTTTTTAGAAAAAAGAAAATTCTTGGTGCAATTTATGGGGGAGGTCAAATCATTCAATTTTCGGATAATAGACCTAAAACTATTGAACTTTTACTCGATAATATAACACAATATAGGCGTCTGAATTCGAATTCATTGTAAAGGCTACTTTCATGTCTCACTGTATGCCCTAAAGTTCGGTCTGGCAAAGGTTTTTATCCTTCCAATGGAAAAATTAAAATTATCTCCAATTTGGTGTAAAATAAAGTTCTTTAACGTCAAATGTTTCCTCTGTCACAAATTTGAAAATCACAACGTTCATTTTCTCAAATATTTGATATAGAAATCTTCAAAATAGCCGAAATTTTGAAATATTTTGAATCCCTCATAAGGACTATTCATGTTCATCTAAACTTCAAATATCAAGAAATTTATCTCAAAAATTTTTTAGGATTTTTCAAAAATTTGAAAACATAGGTTCATTTCTTCTGCCTCATTCCATAAGAGGTGAAGTTTTTTTAAAATCAAAATTTTGTAATTATTATTATTATTTTTAATATTCAAGGTTTTCTAGGTCGGAAATCGTATTGTTTATAAAAAATTATATCAAAATCTTCCTCGACAGGAAATGTTTATTTTTAAGGAAAAAACTCAAGGAGTTCCTCACCAATAATCATGGATTTATTTTTCAAGGACCAAATTTTTAATAATTTAAAAACAATTTTTTTAAGTATTTCTCAAAGATATCCTGGTCAGAGATTGTAGAGTTTAAATTCTTTTAAAACTCTTTCTTGAGCGGGGCCAACTATATGATACCCTATACCATTTTGCGAATTTAGTAGAGCTCCCATAACGAAAAAGTTTATATTGGGAACGTATGTGAAGTAGATCATACCAACTGTGAATCAAATAAAATACAGGAATGTTATTTGATATTATTTCGATAAGATAAAAATCTGAACCGATCTCGATAAAATTTGGCAGAGGTATTTTCGGGCAGTATCTGATGCCTGGTATCAAATATCATTTTTGTGTAGTGCATATTAATCATGTGAGGGACTTTAACACCAAATCGGATTAAATATACATATATTCTTGATCACCATAAAATTCTATATCGATTTAGCGTCTGTCTGTGGAAATCACTCTAGCTTCCGAACGAAATGAAGTAGATTGATAAAATTTAACTCAAATGTATATTATGTCTGAAGGACTTTTGGTATTGAAAATGGGCCATGTGAGTCCACGTTTTGGCATATGGGGGTTATACCAAAACGTGGGCCTAAACGCCTCCCGATGTTCGGTACTTTCATGATTTTAGCGACATTATTCACCGGAATTGTTTCAAAATTTGATATTTGAAGTTCGTAATGGATACTACAGCCTAAGACAAAAATTTTCTGTGCAGGTCTAGGTCTTCGCATAGCCCCCATATAACGGTACTTCCAGATATTCCGTATTTTGATGATTTTAGCGACATTATTCATCGGAATTGTTTCCAATTTGGCATTTGAAGTCCGTAAAGGATACCACAGCCTATGGCGGAATATATTCATAATCAGCATAAAATTCTAAGTCGATTTAACAATGTCCGTCTGTCTGTCTGTTGAAATCACGATACAGCCCACAATATTTGACGTAGAGCGCCAAAATTTAGCAGAGCTATTTGCATTGTGTCTAGGATGGTTGGTATTGAAAATGAGATATATCGGTCCACGTTCTGGTATAGTCCCCATATAACGGTACCTCCCGGTATTCGGTATTTTGATGGTTTTTGTCACATTTTTTCACTGATTTGTCTAACAATTATTACATGTGGGTCATAATGGGTCCTAATTCGTGTGGCGAAACATTGTAATTATAGGTCCACGTTTTGGTATAGCCCCCATATAGCGGTACCTCCCGATATTCGGTAATTTGGTGATTTTTGCCACATTTTTTCACGAATTTGTTTGAAAATTGGTATTTCTTGGTCATAAAGGGTTCCAGCTTCGGTGGCGAAACATTGCATGCGTGGGTCCATGATTTGATAAAGCCCCCATATAACGGTACCTCCCGATATTCGGTATTTTGATGGTTTTTGCCACATTTCTTCTAATGTTTCTTTTACCCTAAGGTGGAGGGTATTAAAAGTTTGGCCCGGCCGAACTTAAGGTGTTTTAATTGTTTTTTTTTTTCAAATTTCGCATTTGAATATTGTAAAGACTTATGACAAAAGTTGCCTTTGCAGGTCCACGTCGTCGTATAGACCCTAATATAACGGCTACATTTGGTATTTTTATAATTTGAACGGAATTTTAAACGGATTTTTCTTTTGAAATTGCCAAATTCGTTCCAAATGGTGTAGTTTATTCAAAGTTCTGTCCGGCCGAGTTTAAAGCTTTTTTACTTGTTTCTTGTCTCATGTCTTAGATATTTTAAGATCACTATTTCTAAGATTTTGTTTTATTTTGACGTTGTGAACATATTTTTCTTTTTTTTGTAAAAGTTTTTCCAAATCCTCAAAAAAAACTATTTTTTTTTAAATCTTTTGTAGCTGAGCAAACCGTCGCTCCAGTTCCGATTCATATATTTGAATGGAGCTCATATATTTCATCCTATGAAACACCCCCCCCCCCCTCTCTCTCTCTCTCTCCTCTCTCCCCTTCTAATAGAGGCTATTATGCAGAATGTCTGCATTGAGTGGTAAGATTCCTTACCAACATTGTTTTGACCTTTTATTGGCGGGCGGTATGATTATATTTCTTTGGCTAAATAACCGACTGTTATGCCGACTGATGGTCGGCAATTTGTTACCAATTTAAGTAATTTCTTTTTTTCCCTTTGAGTCTTGTGAGTGTGTGCGGAGGGGTTCCTTTTTAAACATAGACACGCAGTGTTGCGGGTCTTTGGGTTTGGACATTGTATGGGGGCATTGTGTGTTGAGTGCGGTGCCTTGGGTATGATTGCCTTAGAACCGTTATGTATTTATGTTGATTATTATGGTAGTAGAAGTGCTGTCCTGTTTTGCATTGACCAGGTGACCTTGAAATGTTAGTTGGCCGAAGGTAATAATTTTGCGAAAAGGAATTTCTGTTTTTTTTTTTTTTCAAAGGAATTTAAAGAGGGAAGAAAATATTTTTTTTGTATTAAAAAAAGTGCTTCAAAGGACTCTTGTCCTTTATTGAAATTATTATTATTTTATTCAATTAAGTTATTGTAATATTTATATTTCTAATTATTTTAAGAAAATCAAGATGTTTAAGTTGTGAAAAAAAAATCTCTCAAGGAATTGTGGCCCTCATTGATGCTAGGTGGCCAGCCGAGGGTTGGGTAGCAGTAATTTTTCCAAAAGATATGGTCCAAAAGAATTGAAAATAAATTTAAATGACAAAAATAAGAAAAACGTTAGAAAATATTTTTTTATTTAAAAAAATCCTTTCTTTGGTTTAAAGTCGTAAATAGTTGGAAGGGCTAATGTTGCCTTTGGATCTGGTTTCAATTAAATATTTGGGTAGGCTGTGGCAAAGATATGAAAAAGTTTTTTGGGTTAATGGAGAAGTTCTAAAATGGTACTAAACTACTAAAATGGTACCATTAGATATTATGTGAATGGACAGTGCTAAAAACTTGGTTTGCAGGTGGTTTTGGAAATGTGTACTAAGTGTACGAACTGTACTAAATGGTACTACAGTTGTAACATTTATGTAAAGAGTGAAAGTGTGAATCTGGAAATTGGGTCTTGGGGCCCTGTTAAGGGTAGGTTTGTGATAAAGAGATGGTTTAGGAAAAGTGTACTACAAGAGCTCGAAAAGTACTAAATAGTACTATATTTGGTAGAATTTGGTATTGGGTAAAAAGAAAGTGCTTGAAATCTGAAATTGGGTTTAGGGTCACTGTTCATGTGTAGCCTTGACATATGGAGGTGGTTTCGGAAATATGTACTAGAATTGTACGAAAAGTACTAAAGAGTACTAAATTTAGTATTGGCTGAATAAATAGAGTTTAAATCCCCTATTGTTCAAAACGTACTAAATAGTACTAATTTTTGTATAGGGTGAAGAAGTGGGAATTGAGATATAAAGGCGATTTTGGAAATGTGTGCTTTAATTGCAAAAAGTACTAAATAGTACTATTATTGGTATTAGGTGAAGGGACAGGGCTGGAATACTCAAATTTGATA